ATCAACAGAGTCATTATCTTGTAAAATAAGAAAAAGAAAATTTGAAATATTATAAAAATATTATATTATTTAATTAAATATCTTATAATCGGATTTTTTTTTATAATCGGACGGTTCGGGCAGTTTGAATGTAAAATCACAAACCAAACCAATTATATCGGTTTTAAATTTTTATAATCCAAACCAATCCAATTTTATATCGGTTTGGTTTGGTTTTTAATCGGATTGGATCAGTTTAGGTCAGATCAATCGGATTGGATCGGATATGAACACCCCTAGGTGGAACGAAATGTACATTATGTAATTACCGAAAAAAGGGGGAATGGACATAGAAGATATCCGGTATTCAAGGCAAATTTGATTAAAATTTTAATTTTACTAAGAAAATTTTTACTTATAATAAAATTTTATTAGAATTTTATTGAATGATTAATATTTCAATATTTGATAAGAAATTGCCATAGGAAAAGTTAGTAGAAAATTAATCTGTCAAATGAGTCATATAAAAAAAAGTTGGGGAAACTTTTTTCCTTTAAAAAGTATTGAAAAAATTAAAAATTTACAAAATAAGAATTATGTTAAAAAAAATCAAGACTAAAAATATTGCTATTACCCTTCTTTTGTTATTCTACTAATGTGTTAATATATATATATAATCTTAGAAGACAAAAAATTTTCAAAAATTTTAAGGGAAAAATTTGCCCTCAGCCAACCAACCCCGCAATGTGTTGTAAAAACATGAACAACTAATCTAGATTATTTAAAACCGTAAAAGTAGAAATTTTTTTTATTAAAAACGAAAAGCAACAACTCATCACTTCAAAAATGAAGCTCTCTACAGCCTCGTGATGAAATGCAAAATATGTAGAATCAAAGAAAATAGTTGAGAAATAATTAGAAAAAAAAAAAGGGTGAAATTTTCACCTACTAAATGAAGCTGGTTCCACTTCCACACATACGTCATCGCTGCAAATATCCACACCTCAATGTCATCAGCTCTATCCCCGTTAATGGAGGCATTTTGCTAAGTTTAATTAACTATGAATTGGCCTAATTGCTGGCACCGCTATCCCCAAAAAACAAGACGAATTTGCAACAAGTTTACTAAAATTGAAGCATTTGCCCCCGTTTGTACCCAACCCAGTGCTGCTGTTCTCTACCGTTGAATGCTCAAACTTCATCATGGGTTCTTCATGGAAAGATTCTTGCTCTGTATTTACGACAACGCAGTTCAAGTTCTCGTCTCCATCAGTAGGTTCTTCTTCTTCCTCTTCATGTGCAATTTCGGCTTTTCTCATTGACAACCTCGTCAATATATTCAGTGGTCTCAGCATGGACTTCTTCATCGTCATTCTCAATTTTCTCAGGAGCAAAAGGTGGGAGCAAAACGTCATCGTCAAGGGGAACAAGCTGCAAGGTCAAACGGCCGTTGGATCTGTGAGCCCGAAGGAACTCATGGTGCCTCACCTTCTCTTCCCTGAGGATCAAGCGACCGTCGCTGGTGTAATACCTCTTCAACACCCAAGGCATATGAGAAGCAAGATTCTCCGTGCGAGAAAGCAACGGAATCGGCGGTGGAAATTCCCTCTTCACCGTCTTACGCCGTTGATGATATTGATCCGGCTCCCCACGCCGTTCGCTGCAAGCCCAAGATGAGAGGAAGGACTCCTCTACCTCCTTGAGATCACAGCAACTCTCCATTCCAATGTAATCACCCAGAGAAGATCTAGACGACGAGGTTAGCGACAATAATGTATCAGACTTCATCCCACAGGAATCGTTAGGAAGTCCTGTTTGGTTGTTTTTAGGGCAAAGAGTTATTAAGGTCTCAAGACCAAGAAGATCATCTGGTGCTATGTATTGGGGCTTGCATTTGAACGGCTGAAAAGGAACCGATGAAGAGGATTTAGCCTAAGTTTTGGTTATTGACAAAATATATACATACATATATATATATA